CTCATGGCCGTCTGATAAAGTCTCATGTTCATAAATAACGGTTTTAATCTTACCGAATTACCTATCGATATCGACATAAAATTATAGCATTGGAATATTTATTTTTAATACGTGTGTATCTAATTTATTCTCATTCCCCAACCTTTTACGCAAAAAATTTTATTTTTAAATTACTGATCCATTAAAAATATCTTTATATGACTGATCATTTTAAATAAGTTTATTTATCAACTAAGAATAGCTGAATTTCTTGTTTTTTACTTACCGTTACTGTTGAATGCCCTACAAACCTAATTTTGATTAGTAAATACGCTTCCTAAACAAAGCAACACATTAAAATAACACTCTTTTGTTTTTCTTGATTAATGGCATCAACTTATCTAGTTATAATCAGGTCAAGATGTTGCCCGATTTTGTAAATGCTCACAAGAATTCTAGTAAATTTTTTATGATTGTTACAAGTAACAAAAACCGAGTTCGGTTTTTGTTATTTATTGAATTTAATTGATTCATTTGATTGGTCAAAGCAAGTCAATCATATGAATAAGTGTGGATTCTGCGGAAATTGTGACACTTTCTGCAATTAGTATCAGAATTCCGTGATTCTGTGGCATTCCGTGAAACGCAGAATATCATCGTCCCTGGTACACGCGTGATTATTTTTTATTTGACAACAATAACAACTATTTATCTAAAAAAGACACCATTTACGAATATAAGAAAAAAAAATAAATAAAGATACGTTCGGAATTGCGTGAAATAATAAGATCCAACTGTTTTTTTTTTATTTTGCTGCATTACTTATGATCACTGTAAATTTAAAAACATTCGATCGCCACGTAATGAAAAGTTTCAATTTCCAGAATGCCCTGACTTATACCACCACATATCGGAGAGTGCCATTTTTCTCATTTGGTGCGTATCTTTTAAGTAAAAAGATTATCGAAATATAAAAAATATATAATAAGAATATGCATAAAATAGAATATAACTAGATAGAGATATAAATGAGGTATAATAATTACGAACAAATATTTTTTATTATAAGGCCACGCAAAGTTGATTTTTCGTTTTGCATTACATGGATTTAAAAATTCGGGACGGACGGACGGATTTTTTTTTTTTTTTGTAAAATTTTTTTTTAATTTAATTTACTGCAAATAGAATAATGATCACATTTAAGGTTATAAAAGGTTAATTTATCATTTTGAAGAACAAGGAATCAAAAAATTGGGCCGGCAGTCATATTTTTCCTGTCAGTCCTATCGGACAATTACTGGAAATTAAGGTCTCCGTCGGGTGGCACCGGATGAAAATAGCGGGAAAAAATAGACGTCAAAAATCGAACAATTGGCACAATTGGGAACTAAAAAAAAAAAAAAAAAAAAAATTTGAAAAAATGGGACGGCGGGTAATGCAAAACGAAAAATCAACTTTGCGTGGCCTAATACTTAAAATTTTATTATAAAGTGCAAAAATTTCTCAATAGGAGTAAATGTATATTGGAAGAATTATTTAAATAAATGATAATAAGCATCGAACCAATTTTCAGGAGTGACATCCTTCATATCCCACTTTTTACATAATTCATCTTTCAAGTGCATCCACATAGCTCGGACTTGCATTAATTGATCATTAGCAGGATCTATTTGGTCTAATGGCCACCAATCTGGATAATATTTCTTCATAAATTTCTCAAGTATTAGAGGTTCTTTTTCTTTACAAGTTATCCAATAAGAGTCATGAGCTGCTGGTTCACTACATATTTTCAATGTTGCTATATGTGTATCTGAATTTCTCCAACCATTGAAGCAAACCATTAAATGAAATGATGTTACATGATGTGTTCCAGGATCATGTTTTGCTAATTCACATTTGGATCTATTATATTTTATATATTGGAAATTAATTTTTTAATAAATATTCTTATAGATAAATAAAATTTTGCATGACTTACCCACATAATGGGCACCTATGAGTACACCCCTCAGCCTTATACCAATAATAG